CTCCCACTGTATCCAAATCTGATGAAGGACTTTACAAATGCAGTATTGCTGATGCTGGAGAATCACCAGAGAGCTGGCTTAGTGTTGCAGGTAAGATGCATCAATATTTTCTAACTAAAAAGATTTGAAATTGTCCTAAAAAAGTGTGTATGGTCTACGATGACGATATCCCCTATGCAAAGTGATGTTAGACTGATGCTACTGCTAAATTAACTGTATAAATCGATATCATTTGAAAGCTTTAGTGCTTAATGTGTATATACTGGTGTTTGTCAAAAAAAACTAAACACAATAATAAAAAGAAGCACATGTGCAAGAACCTTGTCTTTAAAATTGTTATTTTTTAATTAGAAGAGATTCAATTTTTTTTAAAAAAAGAGTCTTTATTGGATTTTGTGTCTCAGATTCAGGTTTTCCTCAAGTTGTTCCAAACAGACAGCAGTTCTTTCAAGGAGAACCTATCACTATCAGCTGTGAAGGGCTAAATGGGCGGACTGGATGGAGAGTGATGAAAAAGATAAATGGAGATATTAGAATATGTGCTTCAACCTGGGAAACATTGATTGGATCTTGCAATATTTGTAATGCATATCCTTCAACTGACAGTGGAGAATACTGGTGTGAACATGGAGAAATACAAAAAAGCAACTCTGTCAACATCACTGTATCTGGTATGTACATGGGAAAAAATATGCGTTATATTACATATTACTATATATTTAGTCCATCAAATCTGTTTGGTTTATCACATACAGTAACTATTTAAAATCTTAATATAAAATGTGTAACAGTAGGGTGGACATTTTTGCTGCGATCTCGTATAGAAAACTATTCTGCGCGTATTTAAAACAGGTTAGCGGCTCTGAACTGTAGTAAAGGGAAATCTGGCTAAAACTTCGGGTTCTGTGTTGGGCTTGTAGCTGAAAACTAGCTTTACTTTGTTGTCTGGGTCAACTTTACTAGCGAGAGACAGAGAGAGGCGTTGAAAGGGTGGAGAACATGAGGAAAATACGAACACATCATATTTAGATGCTTCCATTTCCGGTTTCTGGTTGGTGATAACTCGCAATCTTCGACTCTCCTTTTTCTCCCTCCCTCGCGCTCACAGACACATAACGTCGCAAGTAGAGCTGACATGGGCCACAAGATTGAAACACAGACATTAGAGCCTCTTAAAGTGTTTTGTTTGGGTTTCCACCGGCATGGAATTACCAGGATAGGGCATAGCCTAACATATTAAACAGGAAAAGACGTTGTGTAATCCATTTATTTCAACAAAGTAACTGTATTCTGAATATCACCTTTTTAAACAGTAACTGTAACGGAATACAGTTACTCATATTTTGCATTTTAAATACGTAACGGCGCTACATGTATTCCGTTACTCCCGAACACTGATATATATATAAATAC